CGCTCACAGACTGGGGGGTGGTCGTGGATGGTGGTGGATAGAGTTGGTTAGGGCATACACCACACGTTGCTGTAGTTCTTGTGCGACCAGGCGCTCCGCTATGCTAGTGAAGTTCTCTAGGCAATGATCAATCGCGTTCGCGATAGCTGTGATGATGCTGTGTCTAGTTTTGGCGGCCTCTTGGGCTGCCGTGATCTTCTCCGTAACCGCGCCCGTCACCAGTTGTCTCTTGTTAGCACTACCACCGAACGATATAGGTATAGGCGCTGCTTCGGCTTGCCTGTGTCTTTTTGTAGTGCGTAGGTTAGCTAGGCTAGGGGTATTTGGGTCCTCAGGGCGCGTGTGTGTCACTTCTGGAGGTCGAAGTGTCTGCCCTGGGGTACCTGGCACCGCCATCTCTCTGTCAGAGGGAGGGCTGGGCCCGATATGAGTTGTGAGTTGCCTTATTAGGCGCTTTAGGAGTGATTTCTAACAAAAATTTAATTGTTTTGAAGGGTACCATAAAATCACAAAGTTGGTGTTCGGTGTCTCTTGGTTGTGGAGTATTGTCGTGTTAAACAGTTCTGTCCCACTTCAAGATCGGAATGGAATTCCGATGGGAAGCATGCCGGGAACCCGGTCAGCTGCAGATTCTCTTCGGCCTTCTCGCCGGCTTAGGCACAACTGCCCAAGCAACGGTGTTCATGGCAAATAATTGTGAGACTATATTCATATGAATAGCTCGATTAAATGCCTGTATTACACAGTCTTTCTGGTATTGCTTCTGACTCATCTACAAATTCTTCCACTATAACTGCTTTTACAAGTTACCCGGCCAACCATGAGCTCCCAAATGGAAAACAAGCAATACATCCTTATAACTGGAGCTGGTGGTTTTATAGGTCAAGAGCTTGCCATATCCCTCCTCGCATCTTCTCCAACAATCTCGTCCTAGCCGATGTTTTTGAGCCGCCGTGCCCAGACGCATCCCGTGTTGTCACCTCCAAAGCCGACCTTACGCAATCTTCTGCTGTGGATTCTTTACTCTGCTCTCAGACATGGTCAGCATGTTATTTACTACACGGGATCATGTCTGGAGGCGCCGAAGCAAACTTTGATCTCGGCCTCATCGTCAACGTCGACTCGCACCGCTTGATCCTTGACTACCTCCGGCGAAATCAACCAGGTGTTATCGTCGTTTTTCCATCATCCCTCACCGTCTACGGACCCCCTGACCCTTCCAGTTCTTTTATATCAGAGAGGACGATTCCGATTCCGCAATCCTCGTACGGTGCGGAAAAGTTGATTGTAGAGACATTGATCAACGATTACTCGTGTCGCGGGTTAATCGATGGGCGGATATGTCGGCTTCCAACAGTCATTGTCAGACCCGGTGCCCCATCCGCGGTCGCGTCGAGTTTCGCGTCTGGTATTGTTCGGGAACCGCTGAAAGGGGAGTCGTCGGTGGTACCTGTAAGTATGGACCTCGAGATGTGGGTGTGTTCGCCGAAGACCGTCGTGCGCAATCTTGTTGCTATCAAGGATGTGTCTGCAGAGAATTTCAGCTCAAACCATGGAAGGACCGTCAATCTGCCTGGTCAGACGGTTAAGGGGGGCCAGATCCTCGATGCACTAATGGAGGTGGATGGCCGCGAGGCATTAGCGCTGGTGGAGGAAAAGCGGGATCTCAAGGTGGAGGCTATCGTTGCCAGCTGGCCAGCGAGATTCGATATTGCATTGGCGGAGTCATTGGGAATGAGCCGTGATATAAGTTTAACGGAGGAGGTGGAGAGGTTCGCGAAGAGTTTGAAAGGTTAAAGTGACGGCCATAAATCTATCCCATCCCGCCGAAATTGAAGTCAAAGTTTCCAAAGTCGGATAAGAGAAATTGTGAAGTCTCTAAACCAAACTCTCCTTCGAAGCCGGTGCCAGCAAGGTTATTTGCATACGTAGTACCCGTGTTGTTAGTATTGAATGGTGTTGCCGTATTGCCGATACCATGTGACAGCCCAACCTGCGGGTCACCATTGGGGGAGGGGTTTTGCATTTGCAATACAGAAGGACTTTGAATCTTGGATGCTGCCATCCTTTCAAGGCCATCGGCCATCAAGTGGACTAAGTGGTATTTGCCGGTAGATGTCGATCGGAACTGTTGGACCACTCTGGTAATTAAGTCGAGAACAAAGCCGTCGTCAATGTATTGACCCGAATGCTGCGCGGCCACTTTGAGTAAGAGTACACAAGCAAAAGCAATCATGGAGTGTATATAGTGGGGAATCCCAACAAGACTTTCCCTTACATCTGGATCACCAAGTATAAGCTCAATGATAGCCGTGGACGCGGAGACGGCAGCCAGTGCACTTTCCCGGAAGTATGTTGGGACAGCGGCACCTTTGAGACCTCGAAATACATGAGAATGTAGATAAAGCTTTGCGAAATGATGGTGCAGTATAACCCCTTTGCTGGGAAACTCCCCAATGCGCTCATGAAGTTCTTTGCGTATTAGTACAATTCAATAATATGATGTAACTTGAACCTACTCATCAACTCCGTCGTCCAAAACCCCATCCACTGATCGATGCGCTTGCCGAAACTCGCCAACTGCGACACAAACACCCTAGGGACTGGCTCCCCAGTATCAGGTCCAAAAAGGTCTCGAATATTGCTCATAATGATCAACAAAGCCATCTGGCTAATCATGCGTCTATCAGAATCAGTGACCACGGGTGACTTCAAGAGCTCTTCCCATTCCAGGATCGATACATCTTCACGAATAATGCTCTGGCGGCCATACAGCACAGACAGGTGATGATCACAGATGTATAGTATATACCATATCCGCATACAGTCCATGGCGTCTTCGTTATTCTTTTGGATAACCAGCTGGTAGTTTCGATGCAGGTTAATCTCTGTGGCTCGGCGAATAGCACATCCGGAAAGGGTCCAAGAGATGTCGTGGAGCCAGTACGCACCAACACACATGGCACGCATACAGTCTCGATTGATGCGGTGCTCGAACATGGATGCCGCCACTAGACGACGAAACTCCCTATTGCAAGGTCCATACAGATGATTATCGGCAGGATCATGAAGTGCGGCAACAGTGCATATAGCAGCAGTTAAGATAGGAGAGCCGCGTCGCATGCTTTCAAGATCCCGATAATTCCCACCGCCGAGCAAGTATATGAACTTGTCAATACGTTGGAGATAAATCTTTACAAGACGTTGGGCATCTTCAGCGCCTATGATGCCCTTTGAGATAAAGTCGTTGATGGGCTGGTTTGGGGGGTGTGCCAGGGACGGGACGGATGCGTCAGGTATATCATCGGAACGTAGAGCCCTCAGCCGAGTGATTTGATATAGTGATTCTATGGGAACGTGAAGCGCGTCGTCTCCTGGAGATAGCTGAGGCGAATTATCACATGAAGGCCCGGGGTCGTCACGTTCAGTCATGTTTTGGGGTGATTCATCCTGCTGAGCAGTGACTTCCGATTGAAGAGGAGGAAGAGGAGGAAGAGACAACTGTGATAGGACTTGCTGCAATGCAACATGTACGTGCTCGAGGTCGGCCGCCAGCGTGTGTCTCCATCTACGTGCAATTGTCAGTCTTAGCTGCAAATAAGCTGTCGTGTCATGTCGCACGCAACTACTATACGTACTGACCGCGCTCTTCAATCAGCGTTTGCAGGCTTTTGTTTAGCACGCATGCTAGATTCCGCTCCGTACATCGCTTGCACAGCGGTCCACGGTCATCAATTATGCACTTGATCTAGATTGTTGAGGATTGACTAGTCAGCTGATACCATCCGGACTTCTCTGCGGACTGAGTGGTTTGCCACGAGGTAGCCAAACCTTTTGTTTTCGACAAGCGGCGCACGCCTTTACTTTGCGAGAGATGGACGGTGCATGTATGTCAAGGGATGAGTCAGATGGTCTCGATTGTGGGGAACAATGTCCATCATTTGACTGAGACCATGGCCTTTTTGGTGGCATGTTTGCTCGTTTGCTTGGGATGGATAGACTGGCACGGAAATGCGAGGTGATCCATTTTCTCTAGTGTCCCCCTGACTTCCCACCTACGGACATCGGGCTGATGGTAATTCTCAAAGAGCGGGGTCCCCAATAAATTACCGAACTCACTAAATCGGGCGATGATCAGACAATCCATTATCAACTACATGACTACTGAGAGGCTTCGTTGCCGTACAGTAAATAATCAACCTGGGTTGCACGACGATACAGATAATGTCGTCGCACGTCTACCAAGTATCATCACAGCTTGTTGCGTACGCAGATCAGTTGACACAATTTGCTCAAACAATTAGTCAATTACCTATGCAACACTGTCATCGTCATCGTGAAAAACCGTAATACCCCAATTTGGCCTATTAAATCTCCTCCCTTCTGTCTTCGCCAACTTGTCCAACCTACTGACTTCATCCATTCCTAGCTCGAAAACCTTCAAATTCCCCTTAATTCTTTCAGCATTCACACTTTTAGGGATGACACTCCACCCGTGGCTCAAACCCCACGAAAGAAGCACTTGTGCAGGAATTGCCTTCCATTGCTCTGCAATCTCTATCACGTCTTTGTGCGTATGTAGCGTTGAACCTTTACCACCAAGCGGCCCGAACGCGGTTTGGTGTATATCGTGCTTCGTGCAAAAATCGTGAAGCTTGTTTTGAGGTAGCAGGGGGTGCAGCTCTGTTTGGTTAACTGCAGGAACCACTTTTGCTGTTTTAAGTAGTTTCTCGAGGTTGGCCGTGGAAAAGTTTGCCACGCCGATGGCTTTGACAAGACCAGTGGATAATAGCTTCTCCATCGCAGCCCATGTCTTCGAAAAGTCCCAGTCCAAGGCGTGCACCGTACGGTCTTCTTTGCCGAAATTAGGTTGTGAAGGATCGTTTGGCAGAAGAGAAACTGGCCAGTGCATAAGGTAAAGGTCAACGTAATCGAGTTGGAGGTCTTTCAAAGATTGGCGAAGAGCAGATTCAGCATTTGAATGTTGGGAGGACCATAATTTTGTAGTTATGAAGATTTCGGATCGAGATATTAAGGTTTCCTTGAACACTTCAGAGAGCGCTTGCCCAATCTCAGCCTCATTCCAATCTATACAGAGTTAGAAAATAATATGATGTGAAGTCACTCTTATGCTTACATAAATGAGCACAGTCCAAGTGTCTATATCCCGACTTTATGGCAATCTTAACTGCACTGCTAGCCTCACCTGGGGCTGCCTGCCATGTTCCGAACCCCTATATCAATTAATACATACTACAAGTGAGAGTTGATGTCTATTATCGTACCACACCGGGGATATTAGTGCCTGTATTCAGTTTGAAAGTCTTGGTGTAATTATTCATCGTGTCGCATGTGATTTGGAAGGTTCAAAGATCCTTATTTGCCTTGGTTTAGAGTGCCAAAGGCCTCTTTTCTACATTCGAAGATGACTAGTGTTTTTTAGGTTCCGAAGGGTCATCCTACGGTGAGAATGCCGGCTCCCGAATACCTAGTCTTCGAACAATTCGCTTGGCATCGTTTCATCGGACTAGTATGCGCTTTGTCGCATGGACCCACCCTGTAAACTCCACGACATGGCATTTCGGCAGACGGAAAGCTGGACTGGAGCATAGCATTGGAAGGGAAATATTGTTTTTACACTATATTGATGATTTACTTCCTTATGTACTGGGATAACCCTATATATAAATTTCATGTTTACAACAAATCTAAACTTTCTCAATCCGTACGGATTTTTCATCCTTCTTGTCATGAGCAACATCGCCAATGTCTCGACGAACCATTTCATCTTCCTTTGGATATGCCCTCTTCCACATAGACCAGATCGAAAATTGGAACAAGTCGTCCATAGACTCAATGGACCGACCCTTCATCTCCGGCATACAGAAGTAGACGAAATTAGCGCCGATGTAGGTCAGTACTGCGTACAAAAGGAACGTTCCCCATCCCAAATGCGTCATCATCGACGGAGTGGCTTTGGTAATGCCAAAATCAACAATCCAGTTAGTGAAGAAGCACAAGCTCATGCAGAAAGAGCGAATACGAGAAGGGAAGATCTCTGCAGCCACCACATAGCAAGCCACACTATGACCGAATGACCATCCAAAAGCGTAGATGTAAATCCAGACGATACCAAAAACACCGCCCACTTCGGTGCCACCGCCCACTTCTGGTTTCGCAAATCGGACGTAGAGCGCTATGTACAACATGGCAGTAGCCTGAAGGCATGCACCGATGATAAGAGGCAATCTTCGCCCGACGCGGTCAACAATGAAGACGACGTAAATGAGTACAGTAACAAGCTTGACAACACCATAGAGGCCAGTGGTGAACAAGGCTTGAGATCCCCCTCGTACGCCAATCATAGTGAAGATTTCCGGGGCAAAGTAGTTGAGTGAGTCGGTTCCCGTGAGTTTGTGGAAGAGGAACAGCATGATGGCGAGGAGAAAGCGACGCCTGTTGGATGGTACAAGCGCAACATCCTTGATCACTAGCCAATAGTTACGTCCGGCTGCGATCTCTTGCTCTAGGTCCACTTGTGCGCATGTTTCCATGTATTCTTGCTGAACATAAGGGTGGGATTCGGGGAGCTTCCGAAGCTTGACGAGATTGATAAGACCTTGCTCACACTTTCCACGCGCAATCAAGGCACGAGGCGTCTCTCCCACAAAGGGGAGCATCGCCACCATCTTCTATAAGTTAGTAATGGCACCACTGGTTGAGACTGGAGAGATGCATACAAATACTCCTGGGATAAGTTGAATGCCCAATGCTAACATCCATTGTGTGTTGTCTGTGGCATTGACATTTTTCCATTTGCTGACGCCAAAATTCGTCCAGAATGCTAGTGAAAGAGCAGTGGTGATCATTAGGTTGTAGAGACAAGTCATTGACCCACGAATCGCTCTGGGTGAGTTTTCCGCCAAAAATTGGGGTGCGCCAGCGGACATGCACCCAATTGCCACACCAGCAAGAAATCTGCCTGCGTAGAAAAGACCGAGATGGGGAACCTCTTGAAAGGCACAGCCTAGCAGATATAATAAGCCGTAGAGGATCATGGACCACTTGCGACCTAAGAAGTCGGCACATGGGGCAGATAGCAGAGCACCTGCAGCACCACCAGCAGCCACTTTTGACAGTTAGAATCAGAATTTGTGGGTTATGGGATGAAGTGGAACTTACTCAAAGACGCAATATTACCTTTGCGTGCATCCGCAGCATCTTCGCTTAGGTTGTCTAATTCAAAGGCATGCTTGAAAGTCGGTAAAGTTAGTACTCCTCCAATGTTTCCTTGATCAAAACCATAGGCACAGCCAGCCATGGCGAGGGTAGTTGCTAGAAACGCCAAACGGCCATTATAAATCTTTCATGGGTCACTCCGAGCCTGGGGCGAGACCCAAATGCTTGTACCCCCACCCATCTTGTACACAGAATCGAATCAAGAACTTGGAAGTGAGAAGACGTGTTTTGAATTGTGATTGATGGACAGCTGTGAGGAGCAGAATTCCATCTCCCACAAGCTGGCTCGTATGATATACCAAGATGGCACTAAAACACGGCCATATTTAGCTAGTTTGGTTGCTATGCTGGCCGATTTCTCCCCGCATTCGCATTTCCCCGCAATCCTTCGTGTGACCTTCTCTAAATCTCTCAGTGAGAAATCCGGGGGCAATTTCGGTACTAGAAAGACTAGGAAAAGATGTTCGGAACCCTTTCCGGATCGGCTTAACCCACAAGAGTAATACCGACGTGATCTTATGAAGCCTGTGGAAGCGCACGCTCACTGGTTCTTAGTGTGAACAAGCTTACTTGGCAAGCTTATATCAAGTTCGCTTTTCTTTTAGGAGCTATATACTCGGCTTGCTTTCAACAGTTCATCGTTTGAAGTAGCAACAAGGATTTTTACCATATCTTTAAAATGCTAGACTTCAACGCCGAGCTGAACGTCCAATCGAACAAGCCTCTCTTCGCTTCAAACTATATTCCGGCATCCACAGTACAAGTTCACGCCTCCAATCTATTGCAGCTACCAAATGGCGACCTGTTATGCGCATGGTTTGGAGGTTCTCAAGAAGGACTCTCTGATATTTGCATCCATCTTTCGCGACTGAAGAAGGGTTCACGGGTATGGTCGACGCCACAAAAGATCTCGGACGATTCAGAGCGTAGTGAACAGAATCCAGTGTTATTTCTCGTTCCTGGAACAACAACTCTTTGGGTAATGTACACGGCGCAGCCGGCTGTAAACCAAGACAAAGCCATTGTGCGATACCGTGTGTCATCGGATGGGGGCCAAACATGGAGTCTGGCGCAAAATCTTTTCGATGATGAAGGGCTCTTCATCAGACAGCCAGTCACTTTTCTGGAAGATGGCACCTGGGTGCTCCCAGCGTGGTACTGTCGCAATCCTCCTGGCTTTTGCTGGGTCGGCTCAGATGACATCTCCGTTGTGAAATACACGAGAGATGGCGGAAAAACTTGGCAAGAGAAGGAAGTTCCCAACTCTATAGGGGCTGTACATATGAACATCAAAGCGCTTCTTGATGGCTCGTACATTGCTTTCTATCGCTCGCGGTGGGCAGACAATATCTACATGTCGACATCTACCAACTGCATCGATTGGACGGAGCCTAAGCCTACACCCCTTCCGAATCCAAACTCTGGTATCTGTTTCGAGGTTTAATCCGATGGTCGTCTCATCATGATTTACAACGACTCTCAGTTTGAGGAAGGCCAAGCGAAGCGCGAGGGCCTTTACGACGACATCACTCCCGAAGATGATAAACGCATCAACCAGCGTGGTTCGACCAGGGATGCTGTATGGGGAGTACCTCGCAAGATGATGACCGTGGGTGTGAGCAGTGATGGAGGTAGGACGTGGAAGAGTAAGACCTTACAAGTAGGCGATGGATTTTGCATGACGAACAACTCGCGAACAAAAGAGAATAGAGAACTCAGTTATCCCAGCATCTGGGTGGAGAGGAACGCTAATGATGTCGTGAATGTTGCATTTACTTTTTGGAGACAGCGGATCAAGTTCATTCGGTTCGACGTTGACTGGGTAAACAGCTAGAACGCTACATTTTTATACATAGATATAATGTCGGAACTAGCACCAAAATTCAAATTCACATATGACCAGACTCATCAATTACAAAGCATTATATATCAGAGTTGTTTGATAAACTGCATTAAAGAAACAGACCTCTGGTCAAATGACATCGTAGTGATGTAAATGGTCTACGGCCTCTGGTATTGTTATTTTTCTCTAATGTCAAGATGGCACAGATGCTTTTGTACTTCTAGTGGAGGTAGGTACCTGGGTATGGTCATTTTCATCCATTCATCTCACTCGCCAGAAAATGCAATTGCACTTTGCCTGGGAGTTGTTTTGCGCATATGAAGACTTTATCAGAAAGTATTAACCAACACTATCGATAACTAGCACAAATGACTTCTTGAAGTGAGAGACAGATACCATTGTAAAGCATCACACTTTTATCAGTTTCTTACATCCTTTGGAATGCAATTTGTTGTGTTTTTGGCGGTGTTTTTGGTTGGTGTTGCATCGTGCGCTGTGTGCACTATGTGGACTGTTTTGGTGGGGTAACAGTATCCGGCTATTTAGCTGCGCCGAGAGGCACGTAATGCACCGTGCAGAGTGTGCAACTGGCAATAAGAGGTGTTCCTGTTTTTAGATGTTGAGATCGTCATTCGGGGAGAAGTCCGTTGTGGAGCTAGGTACAGCATGGATAGGCTGCCCGACGCTGAGAACACCGAAGAACGCACCCTTCGGACCAGCATGGAGAATCCATCTTCTCCCCGAATGCGGGTTTTATTGAAAAAGCGCGCCAAAAGAGGACAAAGTGGCGCAGATAAGGTGAAAGATCAAGAGTCTCGTTTCCGATGGGTACACATTGAGCAAAGTTCCAACTACCAAAACCTCTTTGTCCTTGACGTTTCTGTCTTAAGTTTCTTTATACAGGTTTCTTTGATCTTGGGGAATAGTCAAAACAGTATGGGGAATCCTTGTCTGTCATTTGAGGACGTGAGAGCGCACAACAGTCGCGAAAGCTGTTGGGTTGTCATCAAGAATCAAGTCTGGAATGTGACCGATTTCCTCACTTCGCATCCTGGAGGAGCAGATAGTAAGCTGTTGACTTCAATTTCCGCACATGTTGTGTAAGATCTCATTAACAATTCGTAGCTATTCTCAGGTATGCAGGCCAAGATGCGACTGAAATCTACAACGAAATCCACGCCCCGGGGATGCTCGAGGAAACACTAGCGCAAGAGAAATACATCGGCGATATCCTCCCGTCAAGCGAAAACCTGCGTGAAGGCACAGTAGAAGAAATGTCAAATGCCAAATCTAAACCTCAGCCCACAATGCTTACTCGGCCTGAATCTATCGACGCACTTGCACAGATACCCTTCATTTACGAGAAACTGAATCTCCACTCGGTCATTTCTGCCGCCGATTTCCAGGAAGTTGCCCGCCATACATTGACGCCCAAAGCGTGGGCATTTTACTCCAGCGCTGCAACAGATCTTTTTACACATAGGATGAACAAAGAGGTGACAAGACGAATCATGTTCCGACCGCGTATCCTCCGCGATGTCAAGACTGTTTCCATCAAACGCAACGTCTTGGGGTGCGAGTCGTCAGCACCATTCTTCATATCACCCGCAGCTATGGCGAGAATGGCACATCCAGACGGTGAGCTTGCTTTGGCCAGAGGTGCTGCAAATGAGGGAATCGTGCAATGCATAAGTAGCAACGCGAGTTATCCTCTTGCTTCCATTGTCAAGGCAGGCAAAGAAGGGCAAACATTCTGGTTACAGCTATACGTCAACTCTGAGCGAGTGAAAACTGAGGAGTTATTGCGTAAAGCGGCTTCTGTTGGCATTAAGGGCATATTCGTTACCGTTGATGCTCCAGTCCCAGGTAAGCGCGAAGCAGATGAACGCATAGCCGCCGAAAGTATCGCGAGCGCTATTTCTGGTGCGGTTGCAAGTAATGACAAAAAGGGCGGTGGTATGGGCCGGTTGATGGCAGCCTATGTAGAGAAGAGTCTAGTTTGGGAAGATATTGCATGGATTAAGCGGGTTTCCGGCTTGCCTGTAGTCCTTAAGGGCGTGCAAAGCGCTGCAGATACGATCATGGCCGTGCAATTTGGAGCAGACGGTGTCTTCCTTAGCAATCATGGCGGTCGATCGTTGGACGGGTAAGTAACCGATCTGCCAAACTTTCTAACTTCAAACTAAGACATTATCAGAGCTCAGCCAAGTATTCTGGTATTGTTAGAACTTCATCGCATCTGCCCAGATGTGTTTGACAACCTCCATGTTTATATCGATGGCGGATTTGAACGCGGCTCAGATATCCTCAAGGCGATTGCTCTAGGTGCAACCGCTGTCGGAGTGGGTCGCCCGTATCTTTATTCATTGACATATGGTGCAGAAGGTGTTAAACATCTGACGCAAAGTAAGTTGATGTATCCTTTAATTTCCCAAGAACTTATTCTCAAAATGTGACACAGTCCTTAAAGATGAACTCGAGACATCCATGCGCTTATGTGGTCTCACGGATATTAACCAAGCACATCCTGGCCTAGTGAACACACGGGAAATCGATCACTTGGTTGAATCACGGTTGGATCAGCATCCATACATCCGATGGAAACCTAAAGCTGTGCTGTAGTTTCTTTGTCCAGATCAACCCCAATTGTAGCTACGTGCCTTGGCCAAACGTTTTGCAAGTACTGTAGGCTATGTGTGTATATAAGTTTGTGCATAGAGGGTAGCTCAAACCCTCTCAACCAAAGTATGTCGAAATCATTTCTTATCTGCTTTTCTAGCGCTCAAATCCTTAAAAGCATGAATGAATCGACAGTTTTCTGCTCTCATCTTTGTCCATTTTACACTCGGTAACAACATAGCTCCTGTGATACGATGCACAGTTTGCGATTTGTATGAGTAAATACAACGAGTGGTTTGGGAACAACACATTGCTTTTGTTCTCTATCGTCTTTTGGGAGTAACGGTAAGAAACTGCATCGTTGCATTTCTCCAGACATTGGAGAAACCACCAGATACCTCCGCGCATTATACCTCTATCGCTGGTACGTTCTACTTAGCTGTACAAGTTCCCACGTTTCACTCACAAGCAGAAATCATTGATCTAATCTAGGTTTCTTCTCGGCAAAGCCGTTTTTCATTAGGTTACGCGTAAGCTCTGACTAAAGTCACTATGGCAGCGTCATGATATGGGATAACTTATTACTATTATCGAACTATCAACAATGGAAGGAGAGAATGGTTCTGCCATTTTGTACTTAGTTGGTCCAAACCTCAGGAGCACTAAAGGTAATAGTGGCGTTCGCTAACTTGGTGGCGATGTTCAGACGTGGAACACCTGGCCAGAAATTCGGAAAGTACTCATCGCCCACCGCATTTGTGTCCTGTCCCTTCTGCACGTCGCCATCTCCCTGATCTAAATCAATGGTTCCCAATGTAGCGCTTTTAGTTACTTGATTTGGCATGGTGGCTGCCCATTGTTTTGTCCCCGGAAGCTCGTCGTAAGTACCGTTACCAGCGGGCAAGGGCGGTTGGGCTAGTAATGTATCAACACCCAGAAGATTGTATAGATCAGTGCTGAATGGTATGCCAGGTAACAGGCTCGGCTTGAATGTGGCCTGAAACCAGGGTTTCTCTGCTGGTTTGGATTCGAAAGGGTCACCAGTGGTATCGTGTGGATAAATTTTGACCGATGTTTTGCCATCACTTCCTTCGACCCAGTCAAATTTGGCTAGGTGCTTTGGAATGTTCCAATCTGTCGGTGTATTAGTGGAAATTTCTGTTGTCTAGGATGCGTGTACACGGTCAAGTGACTAGGATATGTAATAAACGTACTCATTCTCCCGTTCCAATTCGTATACTTTTGGCTAACATAGATCCTACTGACTCTGAGGTTCTTCCTCTCCTCTAATTTTCCACTAGGGCTTGTATGGTTGTATTTGAAGAAACCCGGAACGATCAGGAGCTCGTCATACGGACCAACAGGGCTATCCGTGTACCGGATAATCTGTATCTGGCCAAGTATGCCAACATATTCACCCTCTACGGCTGACGCGTACTGCCGTTCGAGTGGTGCGAACGCCTTAGTCGGTAGCTTGGTTGAAAGGGGAATATAGGTGATAGAATAGACGGTACCCTTCAAAGTCCAGGGTGCAGGCGCAAGCTCGATTGGGGCTGTTGAGTTGTTATCCCACTGGGCTGTAGACAGCACAGCGAGTTTCAAGAGCAGACATGCAATGCCGAACCTCATGTTCGCGACTGGTATAGGAAGCGCAAAAGAATTGCCAACAACCGAACAGTAGGACCAGTTATGGGGCGGTGTAAGTTTGGATCATGAATTGAGTGAATATACTCGAGGCATTTACATACAAATCTCTGAGAGTGCCCAGGATATTAAGCGCTATTGATATCTGCCCTTGAAGTATCCACCATAACCGAACGCCTGATTCATTTCCTGTATCCTCGTTATATTTTAGGTTCACGTTGCGTAAACTAACAAGTGGTTCTAACGGATGTATCCCATACGTTGAGACGGTGCCAAGTGCGACCAGGCTTCATTCGGCAAGCAAAAGCGTTTTAATACTTACTGCACTTGCCCTGAACACCAATGAAAATTTGGGCTGTGGGTAAATAGAGATGTTTTGGCTGACCCGGCGTCATCCCAGATAAAAGCTATGTAGTTGACCTAGATCAGATTCCTTTCTCAAAAGCGGTATGTTTCTGACGATCGCTATTTAAAAATGCGGGGTACATGAATCCATCGAAGCCCCATTGGAGGCCTTTCGACCGAGGATCGAAGCTATACGTACTTACGTGCGTATCTTTGTTCTTTCTTGTGATACCTCGGCTCTCATCCAACCGATGAAAGCTGGAAAATAACGGCCTCTCCTAGTACTGCAAATTATCAAAAAATACACCTAAATCGCTACTTACTTGCCTGTTCGGTAGCTATAGCTCTAGTAAGTAGGTATGGATTAATGTGTAGACATCGAACTGTAGGAAAATTCAAGTATATTTATGGAATAAAAGAGGTTTATATATAGAAATAGGTATACTGTAATTAGTCGCTACAGCATCATGAATAGCTAGTCTTAGGAGGTAACAGTTTCTAGTCTCAATTTTCTAAGTTTGGTAGTTGCATAAGAGCTCCATACTAAGGCCTTGTAACGGCGCAGGCAAGACTACTCGGATCAGTATCGGCGGTAGTGTCACTCAGAGGCATATGGGAGTGCGTGGGACATCAAACGAGCCTTGATTCGAATAGACACCTATAGGCCTTGTACGAAAGGATATCAAAAGTCTACAGAGCTAGCTACAGGGAGTGTCTCCTTATATACTTATCTTAGTCGGATCCGAATCGGATCCGACCTCACAACGAGTGGTTGATGAAGAGGGCGGCGAGTACTACCTCCGATCCGGCTCTGGGATTGGTCCGATACATGGCGAAGTTGTAACATCGTTACACTACCCCCCTCTTAGTAGACAGCTAGTCCCATAGCTGTAAGACTGTTCTTATGCCTCTCTATTGCAGTTCCTCCACGCCAGCGCGAGAGACTGTTTCGGGTGACTTTCGGCTTATTCTATACCCACTTTTCTTTTCTTTCCCTACACTCGATCATCCTGCAGCAAAGTCATAT